GAGTCAGCATGGAGATGGAACCGAACCCTGCCTGATGATTGATTTAGCTCTATTACCTTTGATAATACAGATAGGAACAATGTCATATAAATAATAATTTTAAAAAACCTAAGTAACTCATTTTAAACCAACAACCTTAAAGTGGTTACTTTTAGTATACAGATGCCTGTACATTAAAATATTCAGAATCCTCAAACTCACACACATTAGAATATAGGTTTATTTCTTTACCAATTCTGGCTATTTTAGTCAGCTTTCTGTTACTGCAACAAATTTCTGAGATAAACCAACTTATACAGGGAAAAAGCATATTTGGTTCCATGACTGACTAGCCCCATTGCTTTGGGCCTGTGGTGAAGCAGCCCATCAACGAAGTGTCTGGTAGAACAACTCATTCACCTCATGACCAGGAATGAACAGGAGAAAGAAAGAGCCCACTGTCACATAATTCCCTTCAAGAACATGCCCCCAATGATCTAATGTCTCCAATTAGGCTCCACCTCTTAAAAGTTCCTACCTCTTTGCAACCGTGCCAAGGTGAACACCAAGCCTTGAAATATGTGGGCCTCTGGGGCCCATGTTCTCTAGCAGTAGTCTCTTTCTTCCTAACTGTTACTTCCTGGTACTATAGGTGTTTTCCCCATAGACTCACCTCCATGTGCACCTCCATGAGATGAGAATTTGCGGCAGAAGGTCAAGTACATCACAATAACCACAGGATTCCCAATCAGTTGCCACAGGGCCCTCGACTGCATCTCTGTTTACTTAGGGGAAATGTTACACTGTGCACTTTTGGCCTGGGGTCCTATGGGACTTCAGTGGCTCCAGGACTGATCCACTGCCATGCAGGTCCTCTGAGGACCTTCTGGTGACAGATTCTCTAATATCTTTTTACTCTACTGTTTGTTTAGGTCTATGTTATCTTTAATTATCTATCATATATATATATATATGATCATATCAGGGTTCAAGTTGTGTACCAAAAGATAAATAACTGTCTGATTGTTTATATGCCTTTAAAATGTTTCAAATGCCCCCAAAAGTTGCTAAAAAAAAGGAATGTGGGAATGCTAACTTTACAACATAATATAGAAAATCAAATTGAAAGGAGTTTCATTCTAACTTGGCTATAAGATCATAGCTATAAATTGTTGGGATTTTAAACATACATTTAAAAAGCACATTTAGGGGCTAGGAGTGGCTCAGCGGTAGAGCACTCGACCAGCATGTGTGAGGCTCTGGGTTCAATCCTCAGCACCACATAAAAAAAATTTAAATAAAATAAAGGTATAATGTCCAACTACAATTTTAAAAAAGTTTAAAAATTAAAAAAAATTAAAAAGCACTTTTAAATACAGTTTCTCAATTTTTATCCAGAAACTCCTACCATTCAACATGTATCTCCCACCTCAGCTCAGTCCCTCAAAAGAAACCAGTCAGTTTAGATACAAGTTTGAGACAGAGAAGGGCAGGGGCAAAGATTCCAAAATGTGAAATTGGAGAACGTCAGGACCACATGGTAAGACTCCCCCTGCAGGTCAGAGCGTTCTTTGCTACTCTCACTCCTCCTCTCCCTGGGACAGGCTATCTCCCAACCACCAGGGCTTTCTGCTATCTGTCCCCACACTGGAACAGCTAAAGCACTGCAGTGGTCCCCTGGTCACAGTGCTAGTGGGGAGCAATGATAAGCTGCCCTCACTCTTGCTATGGTTAAGATAACTAGGTTAAGACCAGGAAATGTCTCTAACATAGGAACATGCTTTGTAACGGGAATTTGCTATATAAAACTATTAATATTCTTTCTAATAATTATAAACTTGGCTTAACTGAATCATACTATATCCACTTAAAACCCGGGCACTTGTGCTAAAATCAAAATTCACTTAGATTCTTTAACGTTTAACCAGAACTCAAAACTGGAACTAAATTGTTCTTTGTCTTATTTCATACAGCCTGTGACAAGTGAATCACTTTATGAAGGGAATCCTGCAGTCTCTGGGAAAATGTAAAATCCCTCTTTTGCAAGGAGTAAAATTTTTCTTTCACTTACATGAAATTAAAGTTGCATGAATGATCCCTGAGTCAGATAAGTTCCTCTGTTTGAATAAAGAATTCATTAGGGGGGCTGGGGATGTGGCTCAAACAGTAGCGCGCTCGCCTGGCATGCGTGCGGCCCGGGTTTGATCCTCAGCACCACATACAAAACAAAGATGTCGTGTCTGCCGAAAACTAAAAAATATTTTAAAAATTCTCTCTCTTTAAAAAAAAAAAATTCATTAGGTTTAAGTATTAAAGAAGCAAAGTAGACATAAAAATTTAATCCTTGATCAACTGTTTATCTGCTGAATGATTTGGGGAAATTTACCTTTTCCCTGTAATTCCTTCTCAACATAAAATCATAGTGAAGAGCCAGGAGCAGAGCCTGGTGTTCAGCGCTACCGGGTTGGGGGAAGAGGGAACCCGGCCCAAGCCCTGGCCTATCTCCATGTCTCACAAGCTGGCAAAAGGCCCATGCTAACTCTGGGCTCAGGAATTTACCCCTGACTCCCCCAAGAGTCTCCATTTGCTCACCCACTTGTTCAGTCACAGGTTCTGCCAACATGCAATGCCACACACACACATACATGTACACACGCACCAGCTGTCACTCTCAAGGAACAGCACAAAAGGCAGGTCAACGAGCAAGAGCATAGAGAGCAGGAGCCGCTGCAAGGACAAACACAGCCCGCTGCAGGGCAGAGAAGAGTTCCTGGAAAGGCAGCCTCCAGGATAAACTGCACTGGCCAAGCCGGGAGGTGGGAGGGCAGCCATAAACAGTGCCAGCAGTGGGGTGGTGGAGGAGTGGAACAGCATGCAGAAGGCTGGAAGAGAACATGCCAAAGGTCCCATCTGGCTGAAATGCAGAGTAAGGTGGGAAAAGAGTGAGAGCTGATCCCAACCTGACCTGATGTGGGGAGTTACTACACTTGCTTTTGAATGTGCCTAAGAAACTGGCAAATCAGAAATAAGAATGTCAGGGACTGGGGTTGTAGGTCAGTGGTAGAGGGCTTGGCTAGCATGTGTGAGGCACTGGATTAGATCCTAGCACCACATAAAAATAAATAAATAAAATAAAGGTATTGCGTCCATCTTCAACTAAAAATATTTTTTAAAAAAAGGATGTCATGTACAGAAAAGGACTCCAGTCTTAATGAGAGGACACTCCTGACTCTTAGGTATATACATTATTGCATCTGTTGATTTACACAGCACAGGAAGCTAACCAATACTTAATTTCTGAACATGTGTCACAGGCTATACGAAATAAGAACAGACTAGGTCTACAGACAAGAGGTTGCTATCTGACTGAAATATCACACTCCTGGATGGCATATGAAACATAACTCCATGGATTAAAAATTGATGAATGTAATTCAGTAACAAAGAGATATCTAGTGAATAAATCAAGGTAGTCACCTCAAAAAGAGTTATGACGGTGCTGGAGGACACTCAACTCCTAAGAAGCCAGGCTGTCCCTGAGTTCTTTGGAAGTCAGTAGCGCTCTCTGGCCCTCATTTTCCTCATCTACACTCATCCACACAAGAACAGCTGCTGTGGTCATCTCCAGGGCCTCTAAAGCCCGTTATTCTGATAGGCTAACAGACTCACAAGTGTTTGTCATCAAAGGCAAGGACTTCAATAATCACTATAAGGTGAGATTTACTATCATTTTGCGTGAAGGAGAAACACAAATACACACATACACATATGCGCGCACGCTCGCTCTCAAAAAATTGAATTCAAAAAACAAATGTAATTAAGTTCAGATACCCTCTAAAAGTTGACAAATCATGCATATCCAAATACAAAGATAATCAAAATTTTAGAACAAACAATTTTTTTTTTTGTTTTTAAAGAAGAGAGAAAGTTAAAAAAAAATGAACATAACTAGGCAGGCAATGATTTGCACTGCTCACTTCCCCTTCCGCTGGCTTCCTTCCCCTTCTTAGGTCAAAACACTCCTACTATGTAAATCATCCCACAGCCAACTCCGGAGTCCTCTCTGCTACGACTTGCAGGGAACTTCATGCAAAAGAAACAATTTCTAGACTTCCATGTGACCAAAAGAGATGTGAAGCATCGGGGACCATAAAACATAGCAAACCACAGCAGGCAAAATGTGTATGGCCCAGCAGAAATGAATGAACGGAGGATCCCATTTTTAACCACTGAGAAATGTCTGAATAGAGCTGGGCTTGGTGGCACACAAGCTGGTATCCCAGCTACTCAGCTGGTCAATTCAAGGCCAGCCTGGGCAATTTTTCGAGACCCTGTCTTTTTTTTTTTTTTTCTTTAATATATTTACCTTTTGTTGTAGTTGGACACAATATCTTTATTTTATCTCTTTATTTTTATGTGGTGCTGAGGATCGAACCCAAGGCCTCGCACATGCTACGCAAGTCCTCTACCACTGAGCCACAACCCCAGCCCCGACCCTGTCTTAAAATAAAAAATATAAAGGCTATAGATCAGTGGTAAAGCAAGCAACCCAGGGTTCAATCCCCAGTATTGGGGGAGGGGGTGATTTAAAAAGTAAAAAGTGGATATCCTATGATTTTAGGAATTTTGTAGTAAAGTGACACTGTTTGGGATACTTGCTAAGTACCCAGGTACTTTTTTAAGCACTTGGGATTTTTATGGATTAGAATCCTCACAATACTATCAGATGCATATTACATCTATTTTAATTGTATAGAAACTAGGAACAAATGCTCAGTGTAGTTAAGTAACTACACAAAGTTGCACAGCTTAGAAAGTAGTCAGACTTGGAATCCGGTTCTGCTCAACTTCAAATCTCCTCCTCTTTCCATAAATGATACAGACTTTAAACATCAAAGTAAACAGTTAATTGAAAAAAAATTCCCCTTTTGATAGGACTCTCTTAACACAATGCCATCATTTCAAGAGGAGCTTATGCTAAGTGTGACTTCATAAACAAATCACTTGTGAGAGAAAAAAAACCACATCCAGGATCAAGCTGCAAGCTGCAAAGCCCGTTTCAGAAAGCACTTCCTGAAAGAGACAGAGCAACGATTAGAGCTCAGCAGTGCCAACTCCTCCAGCAAGCCGGAGCTACATTCAAAACAGCCTTTAACGCAACAAGTGAGTCTAACACAAAAGAAATACGATGTGTCTGAAATGCACCATTTCCAGACAGAGCTATTTTAACTCACAGACACCTCTTTTTCAGAAGTGGGTACACCGGAAAATGGTCACTTCTAAGACAACGCTTTGATGGAAGAAGGTAAGCAGCATTCCTTTAACTTCATCACAGATCACTATCATAAGTACTGCTTTACTAAGCTCAAAATCACTAACAAAATATTACAGAAACTACGTTGGTGAAGGAAAGGACCTCAAAATCGTTGTGATCTTTCCATATTATTAGTACGACTGGGCACTAATTTTCAATATTACTTTAGATTAATGGTAATTTTTCAAATTAAGGAAAACCCTGGTATGGTAAGTCATAAATATATTAAAGTGTCTTTGTCACATTGTTTCAATTATATTGATTTATAAGATTATTTATCTTTTTGTTTTGGTACTGGGACTTGAACCCAAGGGCACTCCATTATTGAGCTACATCTGCATTCCTTTTTATTTTTATTTTGAGACAGGGTCTAAGTTGCCAAGGCAGTCCTTGAACTTGCGATCCTCTTGCCTCAGCTTCCCAAGTCACTGCCATGACACCTGCCACCACATCTGGCATTAAATTATTTGTTTAATTAAGAAAAGAAAAACTATAGGTGATCATGAAATGTAAAGCTTTCAAAAAGTTGACTTGAAAGCCAATTACTTTTCACAATTTTTCCAAAATTTTCTGTTTGCAGAGCATAGCCTTTAAGACACTTGAGTCATTCATACTTTATCCAAACTGGAGTGAATGAATGAAGACAAATGCAGATGGCAAATGAACTGCATAAAAGCCTCCTGAGCCCAAGGTGGGAAAGGCTCCCTGAGCTGGTTGGTAAATAAGGCATTTATGGAACAAAATTAGGGATGAAGACAGGTAGAGAAGAAAAAAAAAGAATACAAAATTTCATTTACATTTATTACTATTTAAAAATTATTTGAGGACTGGGGTTGTGGCTCAGTGGTAGAGTGCTCACCTAGCACAAGTAAGGCACTGGCTTCGGTCCTCAGAACCACATAAAAATAAAGATATTATGTCTATCCACAACTAAAGGCATTTTTTACATGTTTTTTATGTTTAATAAAGTTAATAAAATTTAAGATTTCAGTTCCCGAGTTCTTCTGGAGATCTAATTTTCTATGCAGTACTTTTCTCATCTGATAGAAATTAATATTATACTTTAACTGATATTTGGAAATTTTATTACAGGGTTTTAAATTTATAAAATTTTATTCCAAAATCATATTCAATCCACATATTTGAGAAACTAATTTAGGAAGTTGCAAATGAAGGAGGAAGAGGAAGGGAAAGAGAAAGAGAGGGAAGGAGGGAAGAAAGCAAATTTGCATCTTGTAACTTGTGCACAGCAACCTCAAAAGCTGTTCTCAGCAGCCCATGATACCACTGACCACAGGCTGCTAATCACCCCCATAATTCTCACTAAAGAGGGAGTCAGGGCTGAATTAGAGACAAGCCACTCTACAAAGTGACATTTTTGAAGGAAACTTCATACACCTCCAAATTTCAAAAAGATGCCTCAAAGTTCCATCTCTTTGTAGTGAGGCTATTTTTAAAATCTCTTAGTGGCTGTATCATGGTGAGGAGTTTTACTCTGAGGTTCAATGATATTTGCAATCACAACTAAACTCTTTCCATTTGAAATGAACACTTTTTTGGTGACTGGAATTTATTACTTTTGACATACGCATCAAGTTACTGATGACTTCTTATCAGTATCCACTTCTCTTAGCTGCTCCTTTTTAAAATTTAATTTGACAAACAGTATTCATGCTTCTATACTTAGGCAGAGGAGGGGTATGAGAGCTGTTCTTCTGACAGGAACATATTTTCAAGACATTCTTCTCTATGCACCACTGAGGCCCCTGAAATCAGCTTTTAGGACCTGAGACACACAGTCTGGTAGCTTCACTCTGAGGCACTCCAGTGGCCTGGACACAGTCCATCTGTTGCTCTAGGAGCCCAGTTATTTTTTTCTTTTGTTTAATATTTACTTTGTAGTTATATAGGTGGACACAATATCTTTATTTTTAATGTGGTGCTAAGGATCGAACCCGTGCCTCACACATGCTAGATGAGCACTCTACCTCTAAGCCACAACCCCAGCCTGAGCTCAGTTCTTGATCTGTAGATCATGACACAAAACCACTGTTTCTAGACTGATGATAAATTTAAGAGAATATGAGATAATACTATGAAGAAGTCTTTACCACTTAAGAATAAATAAAAGGTCAGACAGCAACTGTGCAAGTCTTCACTGACAAACTAGAGAACAGCTGCTATGAGTGACCTTACCAAACATTCTTTCCTTCACTCTCCTTCATTGAGCAAGTATTTATTTACTGAATACCTACTATGAGCTCAATCGGAAATAGGGAAATAGAAGATAAAATAAAGTTTCTGCTCTCTCGTATGTGAGAATTATTGTAATTTTCAATAATCAGTTTTCCAATATACAGTTTTTTTATTTTTTTAGTTGTTGATAGATCTTTATTTTATTAATTTATATGTGGTGCTGAGAATCAATCCCAGTGCCTCACACATGCCAGGCAAGTGCGCTACCACTGAGCCACAGTCCCAGCCCCCAACATACATTTTTATATTAAAATTATATTTAATAAATGGCTGGGCATGGTGGTACATGCCTGAAATCATAGGTACTCAGTAAGCTGAGTCAGGAAAGTCACAAGTTTGAGATCAGTCTGGGAAACTTAGCAGACCCTGTCTCAAAATTTTTAAAAAATGGCTGGAGATGTAGCTCAGTAGTAGAGTGCTTCAGGTTTAATCCCCAGTACACACCACCCCCTCAAAAAAAATTGTGTTTGAGCAAAAGTGTACTATTTTGACATTAATAACTTGATTATAAAATATTTAAACAGAATGGTGGTGAGAAAAAGTGGGAAACATTTTATAAGATTCAAAATACAGATTGGCCTTTCCCCAATAAGTCTAAATCAAGAATGCTTATTAGAGAGGAGTAATAACAGTTACCCGATTTCATACTATAGGGAGAAAAAATCATAAAGGAAAGCTTGCTTTTTGAGGCAGAAGACAGGTAAGCAGGGATAGTGAAATAAATGGATCCCCAACTGCATTGAGACCCTCTGAGCCATGTTCATGGGTTAGTATATAATAAGGGCTTGGGTAAGGCTTGGGGTTAGAGCATTTACCCGAGGTTAATCCCCAGCCCTGAAAAAAATGATGAGTTCACCACAGCTGTAATCTCTAGGGAATGCATTCCTTAATAAATGCTGAGACTCACATATTAAGTTTACAATATAAAATACTCTCAAAATGAGATAGCCAAGCTGAGTGTGAGAATGTTAGCATCTATTTTCCAACCAAGGGATTTATTCCTAATTTTTTCAACTATTTTTACAGCCTCTAAGTATCATGCCTACCAACAAGCTATAAGATGACTACTCCAAGCAATCAAGATCAACCCATCCCTTCTAATAGCTCACACCCAGACGAATACAAAATCGCGGCTCTTGTCTTCTACAGCTGTATATTCCTGGTTGGATTATTTGTTAATGTTACTGCCTTATGGGTTTTCAGTTGTACCACCAAGAAGAGAACTACTGTAACCATCTATATGATGAATGTGGCACTACTGGACTTAATATTTATAATAAGTCTACCCTTCCGAATGTTCTACTATGCAAAAGGTGAATGGCCATTTGGAGAGTACTTCTGCCACATTCTCGGGGTTCTTGTAGTGTTTTACCCAAGCGCTGCTCTCTGGCTTCTTGCTTTTATCAGTGCCGACAGATACATGGCCATCGTACAGCCGAAATATGCCAAAGAACTTAAAAAAACATACAAGGCCTTGCTTGCCTGTGTAGGAGTGTGGATAATGACCCTGACAACCACTGTCCCTCTGCTGCTCCTCTACGAAGACCCAGATAAAGCCTCCTCCCCTGCCACCTGCCTAAAGATCTCTGACATCATTCACTTCAAAGCCGTCAATGTGCTGAACTTCACTCGACTGATATTCTTCTTCCTGATCCCTGTGTTCATCATGATTGGGTGCTACTTGGTCATCATTCACAGTCTCCTCCATGGCAAGACATCTAAGCTGAAACCCAAGGTCAAGGAGAAGTCCATAAGAATCATCATCACACTCCTGGTGCAGGTGCTCATTTGCTTCCTGCCCTTCCACATCTGCTTTGCCTTCCTGATGCTGGGTGGGGAAGAGAACAGCTACAGCCCTTGGGGAGCCTTCACCACCTTCCTCATGAACCTCAGCACCTGTCTGGATATGATCCTCTACTACATTGTTTCCAAACAATTTCAGGCTCGGGTCATTAGCGTCATGCTGTACCGCAATTACCTCCGGAGTGTGCGTAGAAAAAGCTTCCGATCTGGGAGTTTACGGTCACTTAGCAATGTGAATAGTGAAATGTTATAAATGACGTGAATTTTCTTCAATCTCTTTAAAATTCATTTTTCTTTAAAATTCATTTTCCTAACCACTCTAGGACCAATGGATATTCTACATAATATTATCAAGTCCCCTCTCTGCTAAAAGAAAAGAAAAAAACTTTTAAGAACTCTTTTGTGCAATCTTATTGTGGCAATACAATTACACATTCTAATTTTTTATTTTCAAACTTGTATAAAACATTTTTGTGAATTATTGGGGAAAAAACACCCACACTGGCATTTCACAGTCAAGCCTTATCTACACAGATAATAAATATTTTTTTAATTATTTTGAATTTATTCTGTGAATCATGAGGAAAAAAATTCAACCACTGATCAAAGCAATTGGGTACACTATTTTCAATCCAGATGCACCTCTTGTGTCTAATCTCAGGACCCTGAGGTATAAATTAAATATTTCTACAAAAACAACTATGTGCAACACATCATCACTGGCTGCAGAGCAAACTGATGGTGGCAAGCAGCAGATGCACCTGGGAAGGTCACCCCTATCAGCCCCGCTCCTACTCTGAATTTGGTTTCTTTTAGAGATAAGACTAGTCAAAAACTTTCTAGACTAGATAAAAACTTTCTGAGAGCATACATGCACCCAATCCCACATAAAACTAATGATGAAAACTTAACCTGAGATCCCTTTCTGCCCAATAACAAGGACACGAGGTGTTTCTGTGTGAAAGCCATTCTCTGATGACAAAAAAATCAACAAAGTGAAAACGTTAAGTCATGGTTGTCACAAAAAACTTATAGGTAATCTAAAATAGTTAATGAAAATTTATTTAGCATGGTAAGTACTTTTTTTTTTTGGTACTGGGGATTGGATCCAGCGGCCCTTAACTACTGAGCCACATCCTCAGCCCAGCCCTTTTTATTTTTTTATTTTGAGACAGGTTTTTGCTAAGTTGCTTAGGGCCTCGCTAAATTGCTGAGGCTGGCTTTGAACTTGTAATACTTCTGCCTCAGCTTCCTGAGTGACTGGATTATAGGCTAGGACCATGTATACAGTGTAATTACACACATTTAACACAGTATGTAAAAATTCAAAATTCCACTATTCTAGAGGGGTTTGATTCTGAAAAACAATGTTACATCCACATGTAAACACTAACAATTAAAAAACAGTAAGCATGTAACCCATGCTGGACAGATGTGTGGCCAGCATGGGTTACTAGACATAGCTTATAAGAAAAGTTACACATAAGTTATGTCTTTTCCTATAAGCTAGGTCTAGTGATAGAGCTTCTTTAGTTTGCGAACAACAGTTATATTTCCTGAATTGAAATAACAGTTATGAGCATCTATCATGTGTCAGGTACAATTTCTATGCAAAGCACAAGACAGACAGGTCTATATAGAGTTCAGTGACCTTATCCTATAGTTTGACTAGTGCTCACTATAATCAAGATTACCCTTTCAATGTTACTGAGTGTAAGGAAGTTAACACATAAAGTAAAACCTAGTTCTCCCTCCAACTACTAGTAGGTAGCGTAGAAGATACAGACAATGACAAAAAATACTATGATATAATAACATTAAGATAATAAATGTAATAAATACTAATAAGAATATTAATACATTTGTTATAATACACCTAAAAGGGCAATTAATCTTACCAAAGAAAGCCAGGTGGGCATAAGACTACAAATAGTGTACCCAGTATGGTAAGAAAGATAAATGACTGATGGGGGAGAGGCCTGACATGAGATGGTGGTCCTAAAGAAAAGGAAAACCAAATATGCTGCAAGGAACTCAGTAAGAGTTTGCTTAATTCTCTCTACTCCCTATAAAGAACAGAGTGCTTCCAACTGACCCATGATAGCCCTTTATAAACAGCTCAGAAAGGGAACCTGAAAGAAGCCACCTGCTTAAGATTTTTCACACAACCCATCAGTGGCACAGATGGAATCTCGAACCTGTGATGGCAAAGCCCATGCCATTCCTGCTACTCCAGTTGCCCTGATGGCATCCTGGAGGAGCATGAACTTTGTTCTGAAGGAAACAGAGCTTTAAAGGTTTTAAAGACGAGGTCTAGCACCGTCAAGCCCATATTTTAGAAACACAACTTGTGACTGCTCTGTATGAGAAGGTTTGAAATTGACAGGGGGCTACTTAGAGATTTTTCTGTAAAAACTCAGGCAAGAAAAGAGTTTAGACTGGTATTATGTAGAAATAAGAGAAATAGAAAAAAGGGGAAGAATGAGTGTGCTACTGAGGACTCTGGATTACATGCACTTGGAGCTCCGTCCCATTGAGGGGAAAGGGAAAGACTCCCAGCTTGGAAGACTGAATACATGGAAAGCCAGTAATTAAAGTAAGGACAGCAGGAGGAGGGGACAATGGGGGAGAGAAAGGAGACTCAAAGGAAGGAGAGTTTCAGAACATGAGGAGTTTTCTTTGAGTCTAGAAGTCACTAGGAATTAAGACTCTGACAGATCAGGAAAGTAGTGCACCCTGGAATCGGAGGGCTGGAAAACAAACAAGCTCAAGTCCTGGCAGTGGGTGAAACAGTCCAAAGAAGCCTCAGGGAGTGAGCTGGAGAAGAGCCACAGATGGTAACTAGGAGCAGGTGGTTGGTTTCACAAACTGAAGAGAGTTGTTAAAAAGCATTTAAAGCGATACTAAAAGGCCAAACAGGATGACCGATGGCTTCAGAAATCAGGTGGTTTCTTGGGACTTTATAAGTTTTAATAGCAGTGAGATTAAGAAAGAAGTGAGTAGAAAGTGAAGAACTGTAGAGAGTGCAGATAGATTTGGCATTGATGGGAAAAGAAAAAGATGTTATAATGCAAATGTAAGGAACGTTGACTTAAAGAGTAGTTTCCTCTCTTGAAATTTTGAAGCTTTGCCATTACCAATAAAAGATATTTTTACAAAATCCAAAGTTTATTTATTAAAGTAATGATTTACTTTTCATTACTTTATATAATGTTCTGTGACTTGAAAGAGAAGATGGCTGAATTAGTATTCACACTGTTTTTCAAAGGGGATACTATCATTTTTTAATTTATTCACGGTTGGAACTCTCAGTATAGATTTAAATAGTTCTCTCTTAAGAGAGTAAAGAAAATTCCCACCAACTTTAAAATTGAATCAGACTTTTCATAATAAACTAAATGAATATGAAGGTTCTACTGTCACCCAACTGCACGTGTAGTAGAAAAAAAAATGTCCTCAGACAAGGGTAAAATGTAAGAGAATTAATAACTGTGTTGTTCTTCATCCCCAAGACTTATTCTAACACACACACACACACACACACACACACACACACGACACACATATGTCCTTCCAAAATTCAGCAGGCTTCACAGAAAAACAAAAAGAATTGGCCTGGGTGAGAAACACCTGGGGAGAACGGCAGACTCAGCTTGGCTGGCTCTTTCCTGAGTTAACCTGGACACCACCCCAAGAGGACTCTGGGTTCACAGGCGCAGAACAACAAACTTCTCAGACTGATTCCAACACAACCCGTGGCACTCAACAAAAACTACATGATCATCATCACACAGAACTCAGTCCATCTCCTCTTAAATATTATTCAGAACTAAACATCATTAAAACAGCTATAGGTCAATATTCATGGATATTCGTGCCAACAATTGTATAAATCCCATGAGGGGAAACCACACTGTAAAAACCAACAATATAAGTGTGAAAGCCATTGGAACACTAATTACATTTAACAATAGGGATCCAAAGTGGATTTGAATCCAGATATGTGTACTGGCCTGATCATTCTCAAACTCGATATTTAAAAGTAAAACAAGACACAAAATTTATACATCCAGTATCTGTCTTTCAAACCATCTCATCTTTCAAATCCAGTCTCCTATACTTAATTAAGTGATACTTTAAGACAACTTATATGTGCTATCAACTCTACTCCTAGCAACTAGTAACTATATACAGTAAAATACAGTTTTCATTTTTGAAAAATCCACATAATGTGGAAGCCTCTACACACTGAGTCAGGTTAGTCACTGCAGGCTGGGCACAAATTGTGATCTAAGTACTTACTGTTTTATCTTTGGTGAAAGTATTCAAACAATATCAGCTTAAAGAGATTTCTTTAGAAACTTAACTTTCTACAAATTTGTTTCCTAATCTAAATAAATTTTTTACTTTGGGGTTTAATTAATGTAAAAAATTACAAAGATAAAAAATTATAAAAATACAAAACAAATTCCATCTTCAGAATTTGAATAGCAAATTCATTAAAAATTCTCTAAAACAAAGAATGTCAGAGTTCAAAAGAAGAGTTAATATAAAACTGACTGTTTCAAGAACATAGTGAATAGATACATATACTCTGGATTTACTTTTACATATAAAATTAATTTTACTATATTTAAAGTTTTAAAATATTCACTAAGTGACTTTCATGAACAATAATGCTTTCAGTAAGATTTAAGAGTTCTAAATTAAGCCAATCTCTAAGAACTACTTACAATCCAGAAGGCAAATTACTGGCCACAGTGATACCAAATGAATACTGCATAGCTTCAACAAGGAGAAAGTCAAACAAGGCTGATAAAATCCAGCAACCTAGCAAAAAGGACTAAAAAATAAAACAGGAAAAAACATTAGAGAAGGTACCTAAAAATAAATTAACATTTATTTAGTTAGAATCAGCTCTAACAGATTAATATACATATGTATGTATATTTTAAAAATATTCTTACTACAACAAACTTTACATATATATGTAATAATATAATCAGAATATACTGATTAATACATGTATATATTATATTCTTTAAATATTGTTTTTATTACAGCAGACTTTTTAAAACTGGACAGTAAAACCATATTGTTCAAATGCATTAACTTCCCTATTTCTAAATATGTTGAAAAATGATATTTAGAGCAAGACATATTTTTAATAGAGAACACAAAAACCATTAAGAATAGAAGTGACGATGCTGGGCACAGTGGCACATGCCTATCTCAGCAACTTGGGAACCTAAGGCAGAAGAATCATAAGCTCAAGACTTCAGCACCTGAATGAGTACCTGAGTAAATTAGCAATAACTTGTCTCAAAAAATTAATAAAAAGGCTGCTCAGGAGGCTGAGGCAGGAGGACTGCAGTTCAAAGTCAGTCTCAGCAACTTAGTGAGGCCCTAAGCAACTTAGCAAGACCCTGTCTCAAAACAAAATATTTTTTAAAAAGGGCTAAGGATGTGGCTCTGGGGTTGAGTGCCCCTGGGTTCAATCCCTGGTACCAAAAATTTTAAAATTAAAAATAAATTAAGCCAGGCACTGTGGCACATGCCTGTAATCCCAGTGGCTGAGAAGGCTAAGGCAGGAGGATTTCAAGATCAAAGCCAGTCTCAGCAATTTAGCAAGGCCCTAAGTAACTCAGTGAGACCCTCTCTCTAAATAAAACACAAAATAGGGCTAGAGATATTGTTCAGTGGTCAAGTGGCCCTGAGTTTACTCTCCAGTACCCCAAAAAATAAATGAATAAATAAATACAAATTTTAAAAGGGCAATAAATAAAAATTTAAAAAGGGCTAGGGATTTGGCTCAGTGGTAAAGGGCCCCTCCAGTATCAAATAAATAAATAAATTTTTAAAAAGAATACAAGTGATTAAAATTTTATTAAAGCAAAATCCTAGTTAAAATTATTACCTGCTCACACCTAATATTGTCTATTATCATTACTATCATCATCATTTTATTATGCTATTGTCTTAAATTTACATTTTTTCTTTGGTTAATGTCTGTGCCCCAAATCAGATACAGGATCATGTACTTAAAAAGATAATTGTAAATAATAAACCAAGTTTAACAAAATAAAACCTACCTAAAACAAAGAAAAAAAGAAAACAAAATGTTTTTCTAGAACCTAAGTAGCAAAGGCAAAATGCATAAAACTTACTGCAAATTTTCTGCTTCCATATCTTCTTTCAAATATCCTAAAATTATAAATAAGCAGACTACTGCAGAAAGTATCTTTTAAATCAAGGCAAATTACTCTTCCACATATCAACCTCCAAATCTAGATAGGGATTTAAAAAAAGAACAATGAATAAAAGTAAAATTTATTTGGGTCTCTGGCTTAGCAAATTTATTATTTACTTTATAGTGCTTGTTTGTATAAACTACTTTAAGCAAAATCATGATGCATTACAAAATAAAAAGTAAGTGTGAGTAACTTTAATAAATGAGTTCAATTCTGTGATACTCAAAATTCCAACAACACAAAGGGTACTTAAGGGGAATTTTTTTTTTGTTTGCTTACTAATAAGAAAATGTATTCTAATTAAGACAACAGAAGACTTCCTGTAATAAAATTTAGGACTGTGTGTAAATAAGATTTTTTAAAATTACATATATGAGCTGAAATGAAAGGCTAACTAAATGTTCATTTTAAGCTACTAAATAAAATAAAGTGGCAGATGACAATTTAGGTATAAACTTGAAATATAAATTTCTGAGCTTAATTTTGACAACCCAACTACTTCATAGCAACTATTTACAAAGCAATTTGTCAGAACTGCTAAATATTAGTAGGTTTGGAAATATCAGTTTTTTAAAATCAACTTCTGGTTGGGTGAAAAACATTTAAGGAAATATATTTTAAAAGAGCTACACAAATATCTATTTTGAATATTAAACATTTTCCAGATTTTTAAAGATAATCCTAATGACATTTGAAAACATTCTGATCTTTTTTTCCCCTTCACAATTACCTTTCAAGATAGGTAAAATAAATTTACCCTATCTTTTCTTTGAATTTTTATTGTGGTAAAATAGACATAAAATTTACCATTGTAACTATTTTTAAGTGTATAATTCAATGGAGTTAAGAACATTCATAATATTGTACAACAATCACCATTATCCATTTCCAGAATGCTTTCAATATCCCAGACAGAAATGCAGCATCTATTAAACATTAATCCCCTGTTCTCCCACCATCACCCCCTGATAACTTCTGTTGCACTTTCTGTCTACAAATTTGCCTATTTTGGATACCTCATTTAATTGGAATCTTACAGTATTTGTCCTTTTGTGTCTGACTTAATTGCTTCATTTTGCATAATGTCTTCAAGGTTCATGTTAAAACATGAATTAGAATCTCATTCTTTTTTATTGCTGAATAAAATTCCATTCTCTGTACATACCACATCTTCCATATTCGTTTTTCTGTTGATGGCATTGGCTTGTTTCCACCTTGGCTACTGTGAATAAGGCTGCCATGAACATTGGTAATATTATCCCTATTTTAAGATCAAGAAGAAGAGGCACAGAGGAAGTATTTTACTTTCTAAAGCCATATAACCTCTTCTCTTGCCAACTGAAATAACAACACCACAATGAGAAAACTAACTACATCAACTGTCAGAACAGTTCGCCTCTGTCTCTTCTCCAAGCAAGACACCAGGCATCTCTGTCAACAGTGTACTCCAAAATCTTAGGGTACTGAACTAGCTCATGGAAGTCCCTGAGAGTTCATTTCACCTGCTGTAAGTCTACATCTGAGTTCAAGGAGATAAGTCACCACGAGGAGGCAGGAATGACCACCACAGGCACACACACATCACAAAAGGCATTTCCTAACTCATTCTTTTCTCCCTCCGAAACTTCATGATTGCACTAGAATCACTGAAACTTTAGGCCAGCATACACTACCACCCATAAGATCAAATCAGACAGTGTTATACAGAGGGCTTCAGAAACTGTCAAGTACTTTACAGATGTAAAATAATCATGACATCATCTCTGCCAAAAAGCAAATTCAAAGACCATGACAGAAACTCCAATCCTCTCTCCCCACATTTAACACTGTAGAGAAAGTAGTGTACTCAAGTCCTGAGAGCCATGAGGAGAATCTAGGGATTAAAGAAATTTAAGACTTTATAATTACTAAAATGCAACAAATTGTGATTGCATAACACTATTTGCTTTGTTTTCCTTCGGTTAATGGCAAATAAACTGGCAGCTACAGTTTTAAATGATTTGTTTTGCAATCATGCTCAAGGACATGAAAACTTGAGACCTGGTGTGAGATAAACTATTACATATTATTATGAAGACGACCACCCTTTAAAGACTGATCGATGGCTTGGACTCAACAAAGACCTGAAGGAAAACAAAAAAAGTATCCTCAGCCTCAAATGCCAAAATATGGGAGATTCAGAACCTACAAATAAAGCCTTTTATCAACTGCCCCTCAGGACTCCTCCTATCCAAGCCTGTGTAGTCTCCAGCACCTCCTGCTGCACGGTTCTCCTGAGGGTCTGAAGTCTGTATGGCTTCCTGAAGCAAAAGCCCCTTCTCTCTCTACTACTAATTCGTAAGTCAATCATTCTTCCAGACCAAACTGAAAATAAAATGAATTTTATAATTCAAAAAAATACTTTTTCATTATAATCTGCTTTGCTTGAGAGTATCAATAAATATAACTAGAAAATGAACCAAGTATTAACCAAAGAAAGCAGGTTATAGAGCACAATGTTTTCCAACACTCCAACTCAGACAAGAAATGGACGTCAACATTTTCAATGAGCTTAGTACATAAATCTTGATAGTCACAGAGTCCTGCTCTTCTAGAAAACAAAAACTCACAACAATTTCCCTATTTGGTTTAACTAAAATCATAAAAATAATCATGAATTCACAATGTGTTGCAGCTGAAACACATCTAATCAAATACTCAAACTCAAGCAAATTTTGGAAAATGTTGAATATCCTGACATATACACAAATATGTGTGTGTGTGTGTGTATGATATAAACATTGTTTTAAAAATACCCTTAAAATTATGAATTGCCTTCCCACAAGTGAAAAGTTTCATTGAAACAAATGTGTCCTGCAAAAGGAAATAATGCAACTTTTTCATTATAATCTACTTTGCTTGAGTATCAATAAATATAACTGGAAAATGAACTTATTAATGGAATATTAATAATAAGTAATATTTCTTACAAATTTGGGGGCTTTAAAGTACTAATAAATAGAAAGAAAAGACAAATATGGAAGGGGGAAAAAAAAAAAAACCCTGCTCTCAGCCAGAGGCTAGAGGGCGATGAACAGCACTCACCTGGAAGTCGTTCTTGACTGCGTGGAGGTCATACACAAAGAACTTTTGACAGTGAGGCAGTAGGAGGGCCAGCAGAAGGGACAGGGCACTGGGGACCAGCAAAAGACTCTTAGACAGAGGTGCCTTGTCTGGGGAAAAAGAAATCACATTCAGGATGATTGCTCCTAAGATTTTAAAAACCATGTAGATCTAGAGCAAGAGAAGTCAATCTTCTGAATCAGAATGAAGACAAGTCCAGAAACTTTGATATTTAGTTCTTATTAAAACATCCACCTGCAGAAGTAAGTGACTAAAGGCCACTGGAAAACAAGAAGAATTCACTGGAGGGGCTTCACTCTCAGTTGGCTTTTATCTGAGACTTAAACAAGTCAACAGCCAGCTACCTCCACAGAACACTTTCAGAAATCTGGTACTGAAGTGAAAAGAAATACACTGTTTCCACCAGGTCAATCAGGAGACTCACATACAAAGACATTTGTTTTCAAAAAAGTAGAAAGAGATTACAGTGTTAACACTGCTGATTATAGTGGCTTCCTGAGTTTTGCACTGTGAATACAAGACTCAAGCTGATTTTCCAAGAGAGCCTGTGTCACCTTTCCTTATCCTAAAAGCAGTCTGAGTTTGTGATAATTTGTTATAACAACAATGGGAGACTAATACAGTGACTGTGAATTTAAAAGGGAGAGAGAGAGACTAAGATACCCCAGAAGAAATAATGCTAGGGAAAAAAAAATCTTCCTAATAAAGACTCTTAAGAGATATTTCATGACACTAAAAACAGATTAAAATACTAGAAACTCAGCCAAATCAAAAGGTAATGGCAATTCACAAGATATAAATAAATAAATCATAGATTATGCAAGAAGGCAGCCAACTCTGTTCAAACTATTCGATATATTTCTTACAAAGAAAATACTTATTCTCAATGTCAAATATTTTTAACAAGTTACAAGGCACTAGATATTAGTTTTACTATTTCTCATTTCTCTATATATTTTAAGAAATTTTTAAAGTTTAAAAAGACATTATTTCAATAAATTTTTTTAAAGGTCAAACTATCTAAATTTTTCCCACTATTATTAAAATAGCTTTGCCTGGTTTCAGCCTATGGTCATTTTCATGGTCCCATACTACCCCTTGGGCGAGAACTGAGTGCATGCATGCATATGGATCTTCTTCCTAAAACATCACTTCAACATCGTCACTTTTCTACTAGCTCCAAGACAGGATGACAAGCCCCTGAACTTATTCCCCAGACTTCACACTCTGGGCCCACCTGCATGACCTCTATTGGTGGGTCTGTGGAACCTTTCCTGGAACCAAACTACCCATCTCACTACCTCCTGAACACAAGAGGTTTCTGTTTCAGTGCTTTTGGAGAATTTTCTCTGGATTTAACATCTCAAATACTATCCACACCTTCCCAGCACAAATGCTCCCTTACATGCAGCCTTCAGATTACAGCTACGTCTCTACTTTCCTCCACCTTTCTCCACTGGCTGGTGAACCATTACAGCCTAAAGTACTTTTGCATCCTGCCTTTCCACTTGGTTCCATGTAGTTTGCCTCCCCAACTGCTTTCAAGAGTCCTGAAGGGAGACCACACACCTTCCCCTTCTCCCATCTGCCAGAAGAACCCCACCTTCCCCTTCTCCCACCCCTGGCCCAGAAGAAATGCATATCACCCTAAGGCGAGACCACAGAAGTATCACTCATGGGGACACTCTCAGATTCTGTCAGCACACTTTAAACTTATTCATAAGAAATTCCCTGGGGGTGGATTTAGAGTTACAGTTGACACTGTGTGGTTCCTGCTTGTTTCAGAATAGCCCAACTGTTTCCTCTCTGGCAAGGTCCTGCACACTTCTAAACTGGAGCTATGAGAAAGGGGCTGCACTTTCTCTTCATTAAGGCACCATGGGTCTAAAATTTCACAAGGCATACAGGAGGGCACCATGGCCAAGTGCATGACAACCAAAACTGTACTGTGTACAACGGGAGCCTCAGTTTCCTCACCTGCCAAAAGAGAATCTGCCTCAAAATAGCCACAAGAGAAAATGAAAGAATAAATAAATAGTGGTCAAATGGCTCCCACCAACCACGCCACAGCGGCACCCCAGGAGAGCAGGTTGCCCTCCCTGGGGAGGCTCCTCCTCATTCTGACAGAGAGGGAGCAGGGCTGCTGCAGGCGACCTGGAGGGGTCAGCAAGATCATACTTCCTTCTTCCACTTGGGCTCCATGGTCATTCCTGTCTCCTCCTTGCCACTCCTGAGTGACTCAACATGCCTGGACAAAGTCACCGCTGAACCAAAAGCCTTCCCTGCAAACTCATGATGGAGTCTCACACTCCCAGGCCACTCTACTGCTTCTCTCTAGGAAGTCTTGTCCCAGCTTATCTCATGCCACTGGTGAATCACATTCTCTTCCCCTCTGCCAGCACTCAAGATGGCTCAAGATGGTAGCACCACACGGCTTTTCCTCGCTGGGATAACAGCCTGATCCCAGAGCTAAAAACCATGTAGGGGAGACCTTCCCCCAACCCCATCCCTGGTGTCCACGGTGGAAACGTGGCATTGGTGAGGAGCAAACCATGTTCTTGACACTCTGGAGTTGTTTGTTACTGTAGCATAACTTAGCCCCTCCTGCTTTCAGGGTAAGAGTGCTAGAGGGGAACAGGGGCATCTTTTCAGGTAGGGCAGTTAGGGGAAAGCCTTCTAATAAGCTGAGACTTGAGCTGAGCCCTCAGAAGTGGGCTTTGCAGACAGCTGGGGGAACACCATTCCCAGCAGAGGGAAAAGCAAGTCCAAATGCTGAGAGGAAGGAACATACTCAATATGCAGCAAGGCCACCAGTTGGCTGAGAGCAGAATGAGTTCAAAGAAGTGTGGGAGCAAAGAATGTAGCGCCCGGGAGGCTGTCACAGGGTTGTTAGCTTTTCCTCTAAGGTGATGGGATGTTACATTGTTTTTTCCCCTCCTTCCCTCCCTCTCTCCCTTCCTTCCTTCATTCCTTCCTTCCTTCCTTTTTTCCTTCTCTCCCTGCCCCCCACCCCAGTACTATGAACTGAACCCAGGGCCTCATGCATACTAAGCTAGCACTCCACCAGTGAGCTCTGCCTCCAGTCCACGATGCTTTAAGTAGAAGAATTTAAATACAGGCATAACACCATCAGAAAAATAATGTTGCATGATCACTTCAGTTGCTAAATTGAGAAGAGATTACAGGAAGGAAGAGTAGAAAAAAGGAAGACCAGTCAGTAGGCTGTTCTGATAATGTAAGTAGGAGATAACTGTAGATGCATCTCGGGATGGAGATACAGAAAGATGTCAGAATTAGAGTGTGTTTTGAAGGTACAGCAGGCAGGATTTGCTGAAAATTAGGAAAAAGCAGAGAAATTATGAGTCACACCAATGAGCAACTTGCCAAGTATAGAGATGGTCCCTTCTGGGTCATTGTGATGTTGTTTGCACCACACCTGCAAATCTGGGCCCATCTTGCAAAATGCTCCCATATCCACCTGCCCAGGCTCTACCAGTGCCATTCAATGAACCAGTCTGCAAACCATCACCAGCCCACAAGCAGGCAAGGAGTTTGTGCCAGAAAATCTATCAACACACTGCCTCTATCGGGGATAAAATCCTGCTAAGAAATAAATGTCATCAGAGCTAAACAGGTGCTGAGCTCAAATGTCACCTTATTTGTGTCCTCCCTGTGTGTCCTGACTTAACAGAAGGCTTAAGAATAACACCAACTTAATTCAAGCTGACTGTTAGATACACCATAAAATTTGGTTACACTAAAAAGGAAACACAACCAAGTATATTTTAAAGATGTCATCAAGTATAAGGCACATCCCGATTTACATCAGAATTTAAAAATCCTGCATTTAAGAATCAGAGAAATGTGTCCCTTTGCTTACTGTCCATCTTCCCAACCTTCAGTATCACTGGGACGTAAGCTTCTAGAAGGCAGCAGCTTACTGTGGTGTGTTCACTGCCTCAGCAGCCCTCTGACCTTGACAGGACCCAGCTACTAAAGCCCATCAATGTGTGTTTACCAAGTGGTAGGCAAGTGGCTGTAGGGCTGCCCAGAAACTTACAGGTGGGAGCAACTGTGGGGAGCCATTCCAAATGCATGCAGCTTTAAGTCCTGATGCACCACGGGCATCTGAAGATCACTGTAGTCTGGCACAGTAGTGCCATGACTAAGTGACTCAAGCTTTTCCTTGCTTGGATAACAAGGTGTGGCCCTAGGAGTAGGTGGCACCCAGAGCAGTTGAGCTATACTCACCTGTTCCTTTGTAATCCTATCCCTTGCCTCATTTGAAAGTCTTCTCCTCAATAAAAGGGTTCAGCACGTGTGCTCCTCTCTCTTTCCATGGACCCCTAAGGTCAGAGGAGCCATCATAGAATCCAAAGAAAAAGGTATTTCTCTGTCTTTGTGATTATTTCATGCCAACCAGTTCACCTGGAGTGACCTGAGTGTTTAGTCGGGAACGTGATAAACAGCTAGTGTCCATTGACAGAGGGATGGATAAACAGATAATAGGCTGCACTCACACATACAGTAGAAATCAAATCAGCCTTAAAAAGCAAGGTAATCCTGACCCACACCACATGTGGATGAGCCTTGAGGACAGCATGCTCAGTGAAATAAACCTGTCACAGAAAGGCAAATATGACACGACTCCATTTATATGAGGTGCCTGCAGTGGTGAAATTCATAAAAACAAAGTAGAACTGTGGCTGTCCAAAGCAGCCAGAAACAAGGAACGAGGGAGTTATCACTTTATGTACAGAGTTACAGTTCTGTAAGTTGAAAAGAGTAGAGACTGCACAAAAGGACTGTACTTACTACTGAACTGTATGCTTCAAAATGGTTTATTATGTATATTTTGCCACAATTAAAAGTTAAAACTAGCTAGGTGTGGTGGTGCACACCTGTAGGCTGGAGAGGCTGAAGCAGGAGCATCACAAGTGCAAAGTCAGCTTGAGCAACTTGGCAAAAACCTCGTTCAAAAATAAAACAAGATCCAAAAGGGCTACAGATGTAGCTCAGTTGTAGAGCACCCATCTAATGTGCTCAAGGGCCTGGGTTCAACCCCAATACTGTAAGAAAAAAAAAACTA